GTAAATGTTACTTTCCATCACTGAGTGTAAAAAAGCTTTGTGTGTGTGTGTGTGTGTGTGTGTGTGTGTACCTCATGGTGACATGGGAGTAGTCTCCGACCATCTGCTCAGACAGCACCTCCACATGGATGTCGGTGTCGTAGAACTGTTTCCCCATCTGCCTGAGCTGACCCATGGCGTAGTGCAGATAGCCTTTGCGCTTACTCCTGCCGGTCACAGAGGCAGAAAATTCAATATCACTGGAAGTAAATTGATCACAGCTTTCTCTCTGTGTGCCCTGTTCTTATGTCTGATGCCTGATATTCTATCAATTTCTCTGCCATCTTCCTCGTCCTTCCTCGTCTCAGACCTGTAGTGCAGGGTGACTCCAGTGGCTGACTCCTCCTGGCAGAAGAAGGTTGGAGGCTGCACCTTGGGGTAGCTGAAGCGCAGGTACTCATGGAGGTTATCAAGGCCGTTGACAAAGTCACGTACATGACGGCCTAGCACCTGAAGGCAGAGACAGGGGGTGGTGTAGTGGAGGGTATACGCACATACACAGGGTTTACCCACATCCTTTTATAGTCAAAGAATCAGGCAAAAGGCCATCATATATGGGAGTGTAAACCCACTTCCTCCTCAATAACGTATCCATTTACCTCGCACTACACCCACCTCAGCAACTACAACTACACCACTGGTGACAGACCGTAGTTGTCCTACCTTTTTATGATAGTACTTTTAAAGTCAATGTTCAGTTTTCTTGTCATGAGCTGAACTACTCAGCCTGTAAAAGCAGTTGCATAATGTCTTCTGAGGTCCTGGGGGAAAACTAGAGAAAAAAAAGAACCCTATAGATGTCATCAGAGTTGTCTTAGCTTACGCTCAGGGACAAATCATTAAAACAAAATTAGGGTGAGTATTTTTGGAGCTTGACTCATACAAGCCAGGGCAATTATAATATATACTAGGGGGGGACAAATCCCCCCCCAATATTCAAATAAGCTCCCCCACTATAGCAAATGTTATCATTTTGTTAACTTTTAACAAATTGCCATTGTTATTACTACTGATTCTGGTATAATGGTGTTCTGCAGCTCTGTGTGTGGTTTGTGCAAGTGGCATGGTCGTACCCCAGCTGAAGCCCTTGCTCACTGCTGTGGAAAAGTAGGTACCATCACTGTCTCTCTATTGAATCGCTTTAAAATGTATTTAAAAGTGGAAAACTAGCATGTAATATGCAACACATTCTCATCCCAAGTTGTCACACATTGCTGCTTTGTTAGAGGACATATTACACGCTAGGTATCCTCCTGCATCTGTTGTTGACTTTCCAGGACCTGCTTCAGTTCCCGCTGCCTCAGAGAGGCCCAAAACATTCTCAAGGACCCATCCCACTCAGGACACCATCTGTTTGAACTGCTGCCCTCGAGCAGGAGATACAGGACAGTTAAAACAAGGACAAGCAGGTTAAAAAACAGCTTTGATCCAAAGCAATAGTTGCACTTGAATAAATGCACTAAGGTTTGACTGTGACAATATGCTTCAGTGCAATATCAGGGATTTGTGCCAATAGGTGGAATACCCTGCCTGTTTTTTCAGTTTCATATTTGTTACTTTTTTACTTTCTACCATATATTTTGTAATTGTTTTTATAAGCTCTTGTACTGAGGAGTTGAATTCAATTTCGTTGTGCATGTACAATGACAATAAAGCTATTTTATTCTATTCTATACCAACTGGACGACAACAGAAGCACGTGGGTTTAGGCAAGAAAAGCATGTGGTTACGTCTAGAAAAAAAAAAATTGGTTTGGCATTTGGGAAGCAAACACCAGGCTCTAAGGCGAAAGTCCAGGATTTGTTGAACCCATCCACCATCCCCCCCTCCACCCTATAGGGACTTTCTAGTTTCTTATGTTCATTCGTCATTACTGACAGCATTTCAACTTGACGCCATCCTGCGGTGTATCATACCGCTGCGACAGGTGCCATCCAGCTGACCAGCAGTGTGTCATAACAACGCAAAAAGTTATGTCCAGCTGCATTACATACTGATGCCACCTGGCCATGTATTCTATCTCCACAAGAGGTGGCTTTTGGCATCAGGTATCTGACACCGAAATCACTGACAAAGCTGCGGTATTCAACAACTTCAGAATATGAACAGGCTTTAATATGAAAGCTATGTTGGTTTTGTCACTGTTAATTATTACAGTTTTCTTTTTTTAAGTGTTCGTATGTCATAAAAATATAATTTTGAAAAAGTTATAGTATAATATGTCATTAAAACATCTATGTGTACTTTTCCTTTGTGGCCCTCAATCATATGATGGTTTTCAAAAACGGCACTCAGCCATCAAAACTTTGAGAACTCATGATCTAAGATTTTTCTCTCAAAAGGCTCCAAATTGGTCAGTTTATTGTTAAGGTTTTTAAAATTTCTTTTGGGGGGAATTCTCCTGGCACCCCTGTAGTGCTGGGTCTTGGAAGGTGTCGATAGAAGAAAGCTCACCTCAATTTAAATAGGTGAAAAGTGACTACAAATCAGGATATCTTGCACTTTGCTGCAGACATTTTGACCACGTATTTTAGAAACCACATACTTTAGATTTTGAGTCACATCTTCCTTCCTCATTGACTATAATATATATATGAGACAATAATAAATGCAAAGATTTACAAACCAAAACATTTCCACTAGCACAAAAGCAGTTTTAAGGATACATAGCTCCCTGGGTGTTTAAGAATTTCCTCACACATCTACCAAAGACAAAACAGTTCTGACAGGTTTGAGCGAGAGATCTTTCTTCACCTTGAGGATCCTGTCATAGCCGTACTTTCCAACAAAGCCCAGGAAGTAGACACCCCAGGAGTTCATCAGCTCATTGTAGGGCGTCCCTGTCACTCCACTGGCTGCCTTTGCAATCCGAGGAATCACACTCTCACTATACACCTGCAGACACACAGACCTTATCTTATAAAAAAAATATTTCTTTTGACATCAGGACTATAAAGCCTCAAACAAAAGCAGACAGAGTGACAGAAACTGCAGACAGGTTGATGTGGATGCGCACAGACAGCACATATTACTATTCAGTGCACACAGACGGAATTATATCACTCGTGTCAGACACTGTACCTGGTGGGTGACAAAAGAGTGCAACCTGACATCGGCTCTTTCTCTGACCAGCTTCCACACATCGTCTCCGTACGACTCCTTGATGAAGTCGTGAAGACTCTCACACAGCAGCCCTTACATTATGTCTCTCTGGATTGGAGCTCAAACTGAGCACCGTCAAGACAGCTCCCCAACTGATTGACTTCCAACAGTCCTCCCAAAGGCACCTGCAAGCGAATAACAAAAGTTCCGAAAGATGACTTTTCCAGCGCTGCGAGCTGAATTTTAATGCTTTTAGCTCTCAGCTGTGAAGTTATAAAAAGCTGTACGCTGAATATTGCTGTTTTTGTTTTCCCTTGCTCTCAACGTTACCTGTGGAGTTTGGAACTTCCTCAGACTAGTCAGCCAGATAAGGTTTCATCTGAAGGCCAACAGGGCAAAACGTTTTAAAGGTGCCTTAATGGCACAAGCCCTTGAGTCTAAATGGGCCTCTATTGTTCCTGTGTCAGCTGTCAGCACCTGGTGGCACCTCTCTTTATGTGACATGAACACACTGTGGAAGCTACCTCTCAAACACAGATGACACCAGTCACAGATCACAATAATCTTGTTACTGTCCTTTTTAAAGACATTACATTGTAAATCATTGAATTATCGCAGACATTTTGTCATAATAACCCCATTTGTAATGAAATTTAAGAAGAAAACGCTTTAAATAAAATGAAAGTGAGAAATTGATTCGAATCACTAAGGCTCAGTGTGATCCAGTGCCACACAAAAGCTTTGTTAAAAGGAGGCTGCTAACCCACTGTGCTTTCTTTTTCTAAGGCAAACTCGCTTTTGCTCCTAAACAAACACTCTTAAATAAACCCTTAATGGGCAGCAACTATTCAACTTCTATTGTGTGTCTGCGGATGATTTTTATGTGACTCGGGATGACTCCACATTTTCTTTCAGACGCCAGGAGGCTTCCCACTGGGGGGGATATAGCAGTGTTGTGGAGCAGGTCAGGTGCGAAATCGATATCCAATCTCAACAGGGATAAGGAAAATGTTTTTTTCCCTCCGAGCTCCTGCTGAGCTCAATGAATCAATTTGTGGGGGGAAAAAGCTGCTCGATAAAGACTAACTTGAGTTCAAAAAAGCCGAGCAAATATAAAGTTAAAATGGCATCCCTTCTCATGTAGCACAAAACGTGAGTTTATGCAGAATTCACAACCTCGGTTTCTCAGCAGTTGGTAAGCAAAAACATTGTTATTTATGACAATCTTTTACACAGCTGAATAACTGAGAGGTATGAAGAACGCCCAAAACTCACAGCAGGGTGACATAAAACGATGTCAACAGTCTGACGCCGTCAAAAATGGAGGAGCAAACTGTCACAGACTTAAACCTTTGACCTCAAACTGCTAAAGTGAATCACAACCTTTGATCGCAGTGACCTCATTAATTTTACAGCGGCTTCTGTAAAACTGTGTGTATGTGGGAAACATATGGTGAGCGTGCTTTTAAGCAGCTATGTGGCAGAGTTGTAACAAAGAGCTTTACAGGAGGGGAGAAATAGAAATTGTGTGTGTGTGTGTGTGTGCGTGCGTGTGTGTGTGTGTGTGTGTGTGTGTGTGTGTGTGCCCGTTTGCAGTGGAGAGGCTGGATGTTTGACCTCTCTGAGAGCTCAGTGTTACTGTCTGGACAGCAGCTGTTATCATACAGAGAGAGAGAGAGAGAGAGAGAGAGAGAGAGAGAGAGAGGGGATCATATTTTTATTACAAAGAGACTTGAGGTCAGGATGTAAATCTTTATACTTGCCCCTTCGCCTTGATTACCCTTTTATACCCTCCCCCTAAACGCTCCCTCCATCCACCCTCTTATCCCTCTGCTAAAATAACCCAGTGAGGTAAGTACCCGAGGCATCCCGCGATGAGTTTTATACAGACTGTTCCTTCTTTGCTGAGGAGAGTCTGAGTGGAGCGTGAAAGCATCCCAGCTCCAGTACGGGACAAACCACACGACCATCCAGACCAGCTCCAGCACCCGACATACAGGCAGGCAGGAGACATAGGTAAGGACTGAGGTGAGGGACATGTAGGCCTTTATTATGTTCAATATTAGCAGTGACAGAGGGTGTTACTTATAGTCTGACTGACCAGAGAGTAAACTGGGGAAGCCACCAGGTCCTTAGATGAACTGTAAACAGGGAACTTGGTGGGAAATGCTGGAGAGGAAGATGCACAGTGGTTTTGCTACAATGTGACACTTTTAATTTATATTGTTATAATGAAATGAATGCAGAAAAGGCAGTTTACTTAAAATAGAAAATAAATAATTTGATTTTAGAAACTTAAAGGGACAGTTCAGCCCAAAATTTAAAACATATTTTTCCTCTTACCTGTGGTGCTATTTATCAGTCTACGCTGTTCTGGTGTGAGTTGTTGGATATCAGCCATAGAAATGTCTGCCTTCTCTCCAATATAATGAAACTAGATGGCACTCGGCTTGTGGTGCTCAAAGCGCCAAAAAAAAATACATTTTAAAAACTTAACAGCAATGTCTCTTTCCAGAAATCATGGCCCGGTTACTCAGGATAACCCACAGACCTTATTGTGAGCAGTTTCATGAAGGGACTATTTTCTGTCTTCCAAACTACACCTGCCAACCAGATCACCGCGCAGAAGGAGACGTGCATCGACTCATGGACGAGAGGCTTGTGACAATGCGAGATGTAAGCAGTAACGGCATCAACCTTGGCTAAGCGTCGACGTTAGCTAGCTTATTTGTGCTAGGTGAGCTAACAGTAGATGCAGCTTTCATCTGCATGGTGTAGCTTGGTAGAGAGAAAATAGTTTGAGCGTGAAGCTGCTCACAACAAGGTCTGTGGATTATTTTTGGGCACTTTGAGCCCCGCCAGCCGAGTGCCACGTAGTCCCATTATATTGGAGAGAAGGCAGACATCTCTATGTCTATATCTCTACAATCTACTGATAAATAGCACTACTGAAAAATATGTATTTTTGAATTTGGACTGAAGTGTCCCTTTTAGCAAAATATCAGTACAGGCATTTCCTGGAGACATGACGTCAAAGCACATGACTGATGTAATTTACTCACAACATAATGGAGGTGCCCTTAGGACTTGTGGTATATCTGAGTTTAAGATACAGGAGACTTTTTCTTGCTTTTGACACTAAATAAGTATCATAAAACAATTTAGAAAAATCCTTATGAAATAGTAATTTCCTTAAAATAATTCACATGACAACATCTGTGTCCATCAGAGGAAGATAATGATGATGCAGTCAGGCCTGGATGACATGACCAAGCAGAGGATGTTGCAGGCTAAGGCTCTGTCTAAGGGGGCCAGGGGAGGTAAGTGTCAATGGGGTGTGATGAGTTAATTTGAAACAGAACTGACACACACATCTGCAATATTTGGAAGTAAGCTAATGCACTTATTAGTTTACATATTGTGTCAAGAAATTGGTATGCTCTTGCATGTATTTAAACCCATATTCAAACAGTCATACTGTGTGATCACAAGCCCAGGCTGTCAGATGTAATTAAGCCAAACATCAAAGTGTGTAACCCCAGAGTGGGGACACATGTGATATGGCACTACACCCAAAATCCCAGGAGTGCCAGTGTGTTGTTGAATTTCTCCAAACATTCCAGCAGGGACTATCCCATTTGTTTGTTTTCTAGCACTGCCTGCCAGCTTTGAAACCAAGTCTCCTAAACTCAGCAAAATTTGACTCCCACCACTGAATTTTGCTCAGGACAATCAAAGGCAGCGCCTCAAGGGCGGCACATGCACAGACTTCTCCTAACATTTTTTTTTATGTGCGAGAAAGAGGGCCATCCGCTCTTACATGAGTCTTTCATCCAAAGATCCTATTTATATGCCCAGTTACCCATGCAACCCTGGACCACAACAAACATTACACACCCCTTGACATCATCTCAAGGCTATTTCAGACCCTCCGCTGTGCCATGATATAACACGAGAAGAGACCTTGAGCAAAAGCTGTGCGGATACCAACTTAGTAATGCTGCACACAGTTTGGCTTTTTTTATATCAGTGCCCCTCAGCTGTTTAAAGTCGACAGAAACAAGAAGATCAGAGGAGACATTGTGCCAAAGGTCCTTATTAGTCTGTGTTACTTCCCTTCTCTTTCCGAATGTCTGGAAGTTGCTGTTATCATTGCCTTTGCACTAACAACTAAATGTCATGATGTATTTATGCAAGGTTAGAGTCACCTCTTCACCCCATGCTACGCCACACAGCATAAAGACCTGCGGCAAACAGACATCTCTGCTCTGATACTTCCATTTTGAAAATGCATGAGGAGATTAAATGTAATGACTTATTAAAGCATCGTCATTTGTCTGCCATGTTGTGCCAGGGGGTCTGAACCTTGGGAAGAAGATCAGCGTTCCAAAGGACGTGATGATGGAGGAGCTCAACCTCCCGTCTAATCGGGGCTCTCGCATGTTTCAGGAGAGACAGAAGAGGGTGGAGAAGTTCACACTGGAGGATGCTGCAAATGGTCCTGTTTACAAAACCAACACTGTGAGGAACTGAGAGATGGAGCATAACACACAACGACCCCTATCCACTGACCTCACTGCGACCTACACACCCAGAACAATGCACCTGTATTTCTGAGATGTGGTTAAAGGAATACTTCATCCACAAAATGATCATCTGCGTATTAGTTACTCACCACGCGTAACACTGAGTTTGTGAAGAGAACTGCCTCCGCGGTGAATGAAGAATCCAAAAACTGAGAAAAGTCTTGATGAAGTGGAGTAAGAGGGGGCCAAATTTAACAGCTGCAGAAAGCATCTGTTTACAAACTCTCATGCAGTACGATCTATTTATCCAGTTGTGTGCACCGTGCTTCCCAAACATGCATTTTTGCTAACACCTTACTATTTAAAACACCTCCGCATACAAGTAGCGCACTTACCCTGGGACGCTGCTTGTCTGTGCACAAGACTGTTTATGCAGAAGTGTTTTAAATAGTAGGGTTTTAGCAAAAATGCATGCTTTGGGGAAGCACTGAGCATACAACTGGATAAATGAGACTTGGATTACACTGTATGGGTTGTGTGAGAGCTTGTAAATAGATGTTTTGATATAGTTAAACACACATGCCTTTTCATCCGATTAATCATGAATTTCCTCAGTTTTTTGGATTCTTTGTTCACCATTGAGGCATGTGAGAGCGTTCGCCACAAATTCAAGTAGAGCAGTTGAATAATTGATATACGAATGATCATTTTGTGGGTGAAGTAGTCCTTTAATTCTTAATAACAGCTCCTTGCAGTATTGATCAAAGAGCTACGATTAATGGCCAGCGAAGTCTGACTCTTATGTGACCTTTCTCAGTGTCTGCTGTCTTCTGTCTTTGGAGTACACTAACAGACATTTATCATCTTATCACAATAGCTGCACGCGCAAAACGCGCCTTGATGAGTGAATATACATGAGTAATGGGAAATTATTTTTAATCAGACAGGAATATCCTTAATAACCAATTACCCTTTTTAAGAGGAAATGTTACAGGGGTACTCCAGCAGTTTAGTAATGCACTTGTTAGCGAGACAAATGGACAATATGGGAGCAGCGGAGGCTGATGAATAACTCTTTGTCTTCAGTTTGGGACAAGATCCAAAAAAGCTTTAACTTCCCGTAACACAATTCAGTGGTGTCTTTAACTGCTTTTAAGTTTTTAATGCAGGCTTTCTTTTGAAACACCTTCCTACCTCCATGATATTACATATATTTATAATTTAAACAATAAAAATAGTATGCCATCCCTTCACTGCACATGTTGAAAATATGCGACAAATAAACCTTTGAATATTGACATAAATTCACAGATATCCAACACTGTCCATTTCCCAGGTCCATGCAGAAGCCATTCCTCCCCCACAGGTCATCCCAGAGCTGCAGGGAGGAAAAGAGAACCAGACTTTCTCCATCCCTGGTAAGCATAGCCTGGTCATGAACCTTCAGAAGACTGTAGCAAAGAAGGGCAGTCCTGATGTCCTCGCTCCAGGTAAATGGTAACACACGGTAACGTAAAGCCACAGACTGCCACAGAACTAACTCACCACCATGCCGAACGCTTTGGCAATGCATGGACACTGCATCTTACTTTTGCTAGTGTTCACTTTTCATATGGAAATTTATTGAGCAAATAAATTACTTTTCCTATTATCAGTGCCAGGAGAGCTGGCAGTTTGCAGAAAGCAGTTATGTGAGCATCTTTGCTGAGTGCTGTTGTGTATTAGTCCTGACAGAAGGCACTGCTTACAGTCTGACTGACAGCGAGCTGAGCTCTGTTTATTATCCGGGATTCACACTGAGATCTAATTACTGTAGTTGCTATTGTTGACAGGAGTGACATCAAAGAGATTTATATGAATATTAGATCTGTTGGTGCTTTGTTGGGGCTTGCTTTCTCTGAAGTTACCTAATGGGTTTGGTTATTAGTTTTAAAACCAAAGGAATCTTTTTTTTCTGAACAAAGGGGAGATTTATTTAGCTTATACTGAATTTAAAAATTACCCCAAATTAAAGTAACAAAGCTTTGATTTTACCCATAGTTGTATGTCATTTTTATTGACTGACATTGGACTTGTTTTTATCAGGATATTCTGGTCCTCTCAAAGATATTCCTCATGAGAAGTTCAACACAACAATAATCCCCAAATCCTTCAGTTCCCCATGGAGAGAGGCTTTGGGAGACAACACAGAGCTCCTGAACACCATCTATACCCAGCTGCCCCAGCTCCCACAAGGGCTACAACCAGCCAACTACAGGTGCTTCAACAGGTAAATCTGCCTTTGATTTGTTAAATCCTATTCAGTCGGAGGAACAGGCGGTCAGACCCACCCATCCTCAAATAGACCCGCAGATGACCTAACCGTATCATCCATCACAATCATCTCCTCCCTCGGCTCCACTCCATGTTTCCAGTTTGAAAATGAATCTCTGGCCTGCACCTCCTTGGGAGTGTTGCTGCGTGATGGCTATTTTGAACCTTGGCTCTTGAAAGATGATCCACTGAGGGGGCTGCCAGCTTTTAATGCCCCTCACAAGACAGATTACGCACGAAAGGGAATCACCTTTCTCCTGGCACACAAGGAATCGCATCGCAGCAGCGAGGCACCACAAAGGTTAAGCTTGGGCAGATGGAGAAATGGAGAATGTATGGAAGACAAACTCTGACTTTACTCAATTAAGGCTGTCAATCAGTCGGTTTCTGCCAGCCAGTCTGGAACTGTACCCCCTGTGGACGGATCTGTTTACGCCCTTAAGATTATTGTGAAGCCTTAATTAAATCTAAACTCTAATGGTCAGAGCGGCTACACAAGGAGTAAAAGTTCAGCCCACACCCAGTTTGAGTCATCCTAAATGCCAGCTGACTTTCTGGTTCAAATCAGAGCTGACCAGATTGGATATCATGTATTATTTGAAAGTTTCCCCCTTTACGGGAAGGAGGCTGAGCCATGTGATACCTCGGGTCATGTTCTGTCAGGACCATGAAACACAACGCACTCAGCCTGCTTAGTAACAACTCTTTTTTGTCTCTCAGATCCGCCATGCCATTCGGAGGAGCTATGGCCAGCAGGAGGGTCATCCCAGTGATTGGCTTTGAGGCGGTGGAATCCCAGAACCTGCCGGGCATCGCTCTGGAGCGCATGTGTCGACGGCCCAACTTCAACAGAGCACCCAGGGGATGGGGCACTGATCACTGCCCTGAATCTAATGAACTATGAAAAGGGGGCTGATCAGCTTAAGACTAAAGCACTGATCTATGCTTGCTGCTCACTTTCTGCAAAGATGATACCTCTGTTAATCAGTGGGCACTGCAGGAGAGAGAGAAACACTCCTGCATGATACATAAAGTGGTTTGCTGCTGCTTGGCCAGACGAGGTAAACCCTGACTGTTGGAATCTGTTCATCACTACAGTCGAGTCCCTGACAACGCTGCCACAAGCTCAACAGCTTTCCTTTTGCTATCCTTCGCAGTATCTGATCCCATCAGTCAATACCTGACACCCTTCTGTCCCCTCTCCCAGTCTGCATCTCATCATTTATACGCTGTAACTTTACATCTTCATCTCCCCCTTTGTCCAGTAATACTGTGCAAGAGCAAATCAGGGTTCCCACACCTTGATCAACATCAAATTCAAGGACTTTCCAGGCCCATTTTAAGACCCAACGCGGAAAAGCTTGAAACATGGATCAAGGTTAATTACACAATTAAAAACAGAGAGGCTTAAATGTATGAATGCCTCTCAAATGTGCTGATACAGTGATGACTGACAATATCAGAAGAACTACATTTTTTACTCTTGCACAAAATAAAAAAATCCAAGCACTTTCAATGATTCATGTTTGTGCCAGCTATTTAAAAAACATTCAAGGCCATGATTTTTTCCCCTCAAATTCGCAAACAATCAAGGATTTCAAAGGCCCGTGGGAACCCTGGCAACTGTAGGAGATAACTCAGCAGGAGTGTTAATGAACAACATGAACTCGCACATGATCAATGACAAAATTAGGTCATTTTAATGACAAGTGAAAACAAAGTAAGCCTTACAATAAACAAAGTCAATATGCTGTGGAATATTAAGTTTGTGTCAAATAAAAAAGTAACTGAAAATTAAAAGCTTTAAAAAAATTTTGCTCCTCAGATTTCTACTCCATGTTGCACAGTGTGACAAATACAAGCTTAAACTGACAGTTTACATTTTTATATGTACAACGGCTCCGACCGCAGGAGCCTGTAAAAACCACATGGTCCTGATCACATTGGGCCACTACTCTCATTCTGAAAGTCTGTTGATGCTGATCTAGTACTTAGTAACTGCAAGTAGTGACAGCGTCGTCTTGTAAGATCCTGGTTGTCTTTCCCGAAACACAGATGGTCCTTGTTCAGTTTGTTCACTGCACTGCAGGTGGCATGATAAATCAGATGTTATCCTGTAAGACATAACTGTGTTTTCTCCCAGAAGTCATCTGCAGGTTTCAGGCCCGCTGACAGCATCTGAGGTGAAAGCACCTGACCAGGTCTGACATTAGAAAAAGAATGACACCTGTCGGCTGTGTGACTTCACTCTAGCAGCTAATCACCGTGACGCGAGCCATGTGCAGCATGCGCACCCATGCGCTGAGGATCCTGGGAGGGGTAGTGGATTTGACCAGGAGGTCTCATGCTCATTGGAGGGGGGATAGGTGGAGCCATGGGACCCATGGGGTGAAACATCGGAGGACCAAAACCTGATTGAGCAAAAGAAAAGAAAAACAATACACCATTAGGCATCTATTATCACTGTGTTTACATAATTCACACCATGCTATCTGATTAATAAATTTTTTTCAGCTGCTTTGCAAAAATGCGTTGTGTGCAATAACAGATCGAGATTACCACAGTTACTGTAATAGCAGTATAAATTTAATGGGATTGCTCTAAATAACTGTTTTATTTTTGACTTATGTTACTGTGCATGTGATATAAGCTGCATCAATGGTTATGATTTCACCTGGAGGAGGCGGGTTGATGCCTGGAGGTGGGGGCAGAGCAATGTTCATGATCGCAGGAGAGGTGCTGGGGTCCAGGTTGAAGTAGTTTGCAGGAGTTTCTTCATCCAAAGCTGGTGGTGGAGGAAGAGCTACAGCACAGAGAGAAACAGAATTATAGAAACAACAAATACATTTCAACTATTTTAATTTCCACTATTAATCCACTATAGACATAAGAGACAACTTTAAATTGCACTCACATGACTATATTACAATGCGTACACAAGCACACACAAAAATTCCAGCTCTCCCTGTGTTTACAGACTCACCTCCAGGCAGTCCAGGTACAGGATCAAGTCTGGTGCCCATCTCACTGACACCATCTTTGATGCCTTCCTTCCCTCTTGCTGCCTGAGACCTAAAAAGACAAACAATTCATGTTCTACTGTTCATATCAAATTACAACACTTTATTTAATTCCGCTTAACAGTATGCAGCAGAAGAATTCTGTCCAGAACAATAAAGTTGAAGTGACCTGCCGTGCACTAATTCCTTGCTGTGGTAAAGCTTTTATTGTGTGGGTAATAATATTTCAGAGCACTGGAGTTACTAGTTTACTCTCAGTTGTGACCTTAGCATTATTCTAGGCTGTTACTTTCAAATACACACGCACTCTGAACACCACCAGGCATTTAATACGCAAATTATCGCTACAAATCTTCACTTCTCCTCCCATGTGGCTCCACTTAGTAGGGCTGTATGAAAGCTACGAATTTTTGATGGCAGGAGTGCTTTTTTTTGGGTTGCATCTACTGTATGCTTGGCTTGCCATGGTAGTTGGTGTTACATAGTGTTTGGGCAGCCCACTGTAATTTTGCTTAGTTTTTGTAAATAGAAATAAAACCCATTTAGTTCAGTTTCACAAACCAGCAGCCACATTTATCAAATAAAAAAAGTGATTTGTGGCTAAGCTTGTCATCAATTCTCAGTCCGATGACAGATGCTACAATTAGCAAGTGAAAGAGTCTGCTCTGTACACCAGAAGAAGTAAAGCTGCATCACAGAGTAGCAGGATTATTAAGTGACGAGAGTAACAAGAGATGGCTGACAAGATGAAAGCGAAAGATTTGGTGTCAGAGGCGAAGCAAAAATTTCAGGTTTAAACCCAGTGCTAATAGGAAACCTGAAAACATTAAGGAGGCCAACTGTAATTTTTGTCTGATGAAGGTGGCAGTATCTGGAGGCAACACCTCTTATCTACACACACACACACCATCAACAAATATCTTTTCTTGTAAAATGCCCAGTGTAATCGGTAACACCAGTGTTGTCAAGCTGTTAATCAGTGGGAAAAATCTTCTCACCACGGCATTCCTAATGAATGAAACACTCTTCCCTTTTTGATTTGCTTCTTACCTTCCCCATTTGACAGTGAGCCTCCGTCCATTAATGATGAGTTTGTTGAAGGATTTCTCAGCAGCCATTTCAGCTGACTGCCGAGTGGCAAACTGGATGAAGGCACACTGCTGCCTCTGTACTATGGTAATGGTGCGAATCTCGCCAAATTGGTAAAAGTGACTCCTACAATGAAACAGATAAAAGTTCATTAGACCCAAAACACTTGAAGTTAGAGGTTTAAAACTTATACAACAGTTCTTTTATGACCCCGCCCTAAACGACCACAGGACGATGTACAGTTGTTATGAAACAGAAATACTTACTTGAGATCTCCATCAGTGACAGTATCTCCCAAACCCCCTATGTAGAGGGTGGTGATAGACTTGTCTTCAGGTGGGTCCAGTCGGGGCATAGTTGAGGCCCGTTTCAGCAGCTTGTCAGCTACTGGGTCATTAATGCCGTAGTAACGGTCCTTAATATTCTGGTCGGCTAGAGGGTCATCAGGATCTGTTGGCTTCTCATGCCTGTGTGAAATGAAGAACCATATTGAGAAAATGCTGACAGTGCGACAACTGTGACAAATATAAGGAAATTACAGTCAGAACAAAAAGGACATACCAATTTCTATTTTTCCTATAGTAATAAGTACTCAAATCAAGACAAGAAACAATAAGCGCACACTGCTGACCCCACAACACCAAGTTTGACACCTAATGAACTGAAACTGTGGCCTGTCACTCACCTATAGGGACACTCCTCCCCTCTTTTACACTCTCCCTTCACCCAGAAGGAGCAGATGTGCGGCCGGTTCCTCTTGTAGTATGGAGTGGTCCGGGCAAGTTTCAGCAACATATCACTAGAGCTGGGTGCTTTACCTAGCTGGCCCACGGGCCGAGTACCATCAGAATTGGCTATCTGGGAACACAAAGGTCCAAATGGACACAAGAGATCAGTGACAAAAAAAATCCAAACCTTAGAGGGACACATAGACTACTTAAAGATGTCCCGCTTTGTCCCCTATCTAAGTTAAATCTTACAGGTTAATCAAACCACTAAACCACTGCTACTGACGGTTCAAATCCACACTTCAGTTTGTTATTAATTGTGAAATTAAAGAAATGTTCAACCCTGTCCATATCTTTTCTATTGGTTAGGAAAGACATATCATTAAAATAAAAATCAAGCCAGGCAGATACTCAATTTATACTAGTTTTAGCTGTTGTATCTGCATGAAAATCACAATAAACATTAAAAAAAATTCTTTGTTTGAATCAGAGAGCCATTATTACCTCTCTCTCCATGTTCTGTGTGTAGTACTCTTTGTTCACATCTGACTTGGGAACATCATCTTTCACTGACAGCCCTGTGTCTCTGACCTGGATAGGCAAACCTGATAAACAAGAGATGTGACAAGAGGATTAAAAATCACACAGCTATTACATATACTTCAGCAAGCCATAAACAATGCACACAGGCCAAATAACAACAAAAAGGAGTCAGTTGCAGAGACTTACCATACTCCAGGTCCAGCAGGCACGTCTGACAAACATTCTTCATTTTACTGCAAGTCTGACAGACTTCAGTTTTCTTGAAACGCATTCGTGTCCCTGGACACCACCGAAACACAGTGAAGGGACGAGCACAGATCTGACATGCAAAGAATAAAAAATTATTATGCAGGGTACATGGTGTTCAGAGTTTAATCTGTGTCATGTAGTGTTCTGTGGAAATAAATTTTCAAGTATCAATGCAAAACATACCTTGCATTCTTTCCCATATTTCTCCTTTGTCTGTAAAAGAAAGCATAGATAAATTTGAATCTGCATATCGACTGGTATCAACAGTACGAGAAAATAACCTCCAAATCATTATGATGACACTCACCATACGGATGTAAGGGTTTTCTCCTAAACATGTCTGACACAGAATTGGAAAATCCTGCAAAGACAAAAGACAAACAGATATTCATTTAGTAAAATCCAAGCACCAAATCTGTTATCCACCCAATGGTCTCCTGGTACAAGTTATCTCAAGCAGTAACATTCTCAGTTTCTCTTTGCCTTGGCAATGTTGCATGTGTGACTACAGGGAGTGAAATGGGACTTGCTCACTCCTTTTCCATCTGTCAAAGGATGCTGTTTCAATCTACGTGCTGGCTGCTGAAAATGACCTCGCCTTAATCCATCCAACTGACAGCATCAGCCAAACACCTAAATATAAGCAGCTCTTGGGGCTCAAGCGTTAACGACGCAGTCTAAGGTTGCAAAGTTTATATTCTGGTGTCTTACTAAAACCAACATTGGCTGAAGATCCTGATGTGTCATGGTATAAGAGAGGAAACGGGTTTGATACCTTATATAGTAATGTGTAGACCTTTTAAGAGAAACAAAAATACAGTTGCTTGATGCACAAATACAAGAGTTCAAATCTGGTAGTTGTGCTAACTTTAACATGGCTCAAATGCGAAGTCACATCAGTTCGTTTCCCCACAATGACCAGCGACACGCATGGTTAAAATAATAAAACAACTGAAAGCCGTTTACAACACAGACCATGTTTCTTCTGATAATTTCATAAATCGTAAAATAAAATTGAGATTAACCTGTCAGGAAAGCGGATTTGGTTATTTCCTGTGAGCGCCTGCTAATCTAACGATACAATTAAATCGTTATAATACAGGTTTACAGAAATATGACTAACACACCAAGAACCAAGCTGACCTAAAACAGCAGGCAAAACGTATGTGTCGGACTGGCTCGG